GCTGGTGCCCTTCTGGATTGGGGCGCAAGTACTCGCGGGACGACACCTTTTTGATTCGCATGATCCCTTGGTAATGACTTTGAGGGTTCCCCACGCCCTCCCAACGGTTCAGACTTGGACAATGCCGAAGACATGGGCGGATTCCCCTCCGCCGCCGCATCTGTTCACGCACCATTGCGAGGCCCTGCTCCCTCAGGCGCACGTGCAACTCCAAAGCTGTCAAACCTCCACTGATGTGGGGACGTGCTTGCAGTCGTGGGCCTCCGCTGTGGAGGAGGCGGTCCACCGCGGCTTGCTGGACTCCCCGACGGACTCGGGTCAGTGTGGTCTCCGGAAAGCGCAACGCGGACGGTGCCGCCCTAGAAGCCTGTGTCAACGCCCTGTGCCACAGCTGGTGAAGGCGGCAAGGCGTGGCGACTTCACCACGGATGTTGAGGCCACTTCGATTCTGTGCCGCATGCGGGTGCGGCAGGTTCGGCGGCTGGAGGAGCTTGCCCGCACCATTCATGCAATCCAACACCGCCCAGGCAGCAACCACAGGAACCGCTGCGCCTGTGACCAGTGGCGGCGTATACGGAATGCAGCAGGATACTCTATGCCTTTCCCCGCTTGGCTCTTGCGCGTTGCCCATTTCCATCAGGTGCCACTTGACCTGCCCGATGCTGACTGGCTTTGTGACTGCATCAGTTATACCAAGTTTGATTGCCAAGCCTTGGCTAAGCAGGAGGCAAAGTGCCGCGCGGACAAGTTCAAAATCAGAATGGCCTTGGATCGGCGCTACCGTGCGTCGGCGGAAGGGTTTGCAGCTGTGCGTCCAGCGCCGCATCCCCCTTTCACCAGCGTGCCCCATCGACTGGAATGCCAGGCCCTTCTGGTCCATGCTGAGGGTGCAAGCATGTGTACATATGCCCTCCCTGCAGGGGTGTCTCTGCACCCTAGCGCCCCGTTCACTGTCAATCAGGCCACCATCCCGCAGGCCACCAACGAGGGTGACAAAATTTGTGTCCGTGGTCCATCGCTTGGGGAGTCCATTTGGGTGTCACAGAACCAGGTGGCATGCACGGCTCCCGAGCTTGCCAAGGCCTTCAGTGACTACTGGGGGCCGCTCTGGGGCCGTGACCGTACTGAGGAATCACAGCGACTTGCAGGTTGGGAGCTCTTCAAGGCAAACACGCAAGACCTTTAAAGGGCCATTGCCACGCATTGATGTTGACATGTGTGACATACGGTTGTGGCGACAAGCTATCCGGCGAATGCCCAAAAAGAAGGCCACAGGAATCTGTGGATGGTCCCCTTCTGAGCTCAAACTTTTGCCGGACTGTGCTCTGGAGGTTCTGATCCGCATCTTTCAGACTGCTGTTAAGTTGGGTCTGCCTGCTCACATGCTTGAATCGCGCGTCTGTGTCCTGGCCAAGCATGAGGCGCCTGAGCACATCAAGCACAGTCGTCCTATTGTCATATTCAGTACTTTGTATCGTCTTTGGGGTTCAGTTCTTGTAAACCAGGTGCTGCACACGTGGGGAAACACCTTTCCACCGGCAGTCATGGGGAGTCTACCAGGCAGGGCTGCCAGTGACCTGGCGGGGCGACAGCAGCATGCCATTGAATGCACCCTGCTGCAAAAGGAGACGCTTTTCGGGGTTGGGGTTGATATAGTGAAATGCTTTAACCAGCTGCCGTGGCCTCCCTTGCGTGTCCTGATGACACGAGCAGGCATGCCCGGTGACCTCGTTGACTTTTGGTTGCAGGGTTTGCGCAAGGTTGTTAGGCGTCCTGTTTTCCTCGGGTCGGTGTGCCCTGCTGGCATAAAGGCCTATAATGGTGCGCCGGAGGGCGACCCAGTGTCGGTCGCCGCCATGGCTGCCGTGTGCTACTGGGCTCACAACTTCATTCAACCGTCTTCTGCTGAGTTCGGCACGTACGTTGACAATTGGAGTTGGCAGGCGCCGGCGCTCCCAACGTTGAAGCATGCCACCTCACACCTCCTCCGTTTCCTTCAAAGTCTCAAACTCCCTGTGGACTGGACTAAGTCCTACAGCTGGGCTACAACTACAAGTGGTCGTCAGTGGCTCCGGACAGGGCTCGCTGACGTGTTGCCGCCTGAAGTGCAACTGCCGGTTGCGCGAACGGTCAGGGAGCTTGGGGCTGCTTTCCAGTTCGATGCCTCCCAGCACGCAACTGTCTGCAAGGGCAAAGTCGAGCTGGGGCTTGAAAGACTCCGGAAATTGGAAAAGGTGCCACGTCCTCTTCTGGAGAAGGCGCAGCTGATACAAAAAGGGGTTTGGCCCAGCTGCTTGTATGGACTTGAGGGTGCCTCCTTGAGTTTGCAAGACGCGTCCCGGCTGCGTGCCGCAGCCACGAGGGCCTTGCTGGGCCCTTCGCAAGTCGCAAGCCCCCACTTGGCGCTCACGTGCCTCCATGCCTCACTTCAGGATCCACATCTCTTTGCCATTGAGAAGCAGGTCTTGCAACTGCGCCGCTTCATACACCATGCGCCCCATACGGCTGCATCCATGTTGGCAGTCATGTCTGACTTCCACGAGGTCCCTCGCGTTACAGTGGGCCCTGCTGCGGCCTTGTTAAAGTCGCTTCACTTCCTGGGACTGAAGATGGACCTTGATGCCCGAGTGAAGGGCCCGGACAATGTTTGTCTGCAGCTGCAAACTGCTAGTGCCTGGGAGTGCCATGTGGAGCGCACCGTTGCCCATAGGAACGGCTTACAGGGTGTAGGACACCTTGGGGTCAAGAGACCGCCCGCATCCTCCGCCAGGTTGGGGATGCTGAGGCACTGGTGTTGGCTCGCTACGTGCGCGGTGCATATAGCTCTGGGGCCGCCAAACATAAGTGGGAGCCCGCCGTCCCCGACATGTGTCCCCTGTGTGGCGCGAAGGACACGAAGGAACATCGCCTGTTGACTTGTTCCGCACTTGAGCATGTGTATAAGGATTGGGCTGGTTTGATGCAGTACTGCTTTGACCGCTGGCCTCATTGGTTTCATGGACTGTACGCGGTCCGAGCAGAAGGTGCATTAGTCACAAACCTGATTTTCGCACAGCGTCGCACGCCTGCGGCTAGCAACAAAGCTGCTCAGGAGCTTGCGCGTCACATCCCGCGCCTGCTGCTCTTCACAGACGGCAGCTGCCGCCATCCCACAGTTCCGGTTGCATCGCACTCAGGATTCGCTGTCGTCATGGCCCTAACTACCGACGTTGAGTTGGTGCTCGAGGAATTTGAGAGATGGCGAGCCACAGGATGCCACAGCAACCTCTTCTGTGTGGTGTGCCAAGGCCTGACACCAGGGTCCCAAGGGATAAATAAGGCAGAGGCATATGCCATCCTCCAGGCTTGTTGTTTCGCAGCGCAGTGCCCCCATGATGATGTTGAGATCGTTTCTGACAGCAAGGTTGCTCTTAGGAATGTGCACGTTGTGGTTCAGGGTGCTTTGGGTTCTTTTCCTGAGCTGGCGAAGGAAATGCAGGCCTGTTGGCGCCCTTACTTCAAGCTTACCAAGGTCGCTTCACATCAGGACATGACTTGCCTCGCTGGCCGAGACCTGCTAATGGCATTGGGCAATGACTACGCGGATACTGCCGCTAAGGAGGCGGTCAAGGCGGACCTGAGCATCGTCACGGAGATCGTTGATCAGGTCTTTGAGTTCACTACGACGCAGCGCGACTGCATGCTTGTTGCGGCCCGTTACATGCTGGCGGTGTCGGCAGAGGCGAGCCGACTGTTGCGAGCTAAAGGTGACGCTGCAGTTTCCTTGGAGCCGGTCCTCAGGAAGAACCTGGATGAGGCCACTTCGCCGGCGGAAGCTTGGCGGGAGCTTGACCCCAAGCCAGGCTACCTCTGGACCACGAAGACGCTGCAGAACGATTGGCTGGTCGCCTGTCCGTGGCCTCCATGGTTTCCTTCCCTTTGTGGCAATGGCTACGGCGACTACGATGGGAGTTGCCTGGTGCCCACAAGGGCGTGTGCAATGGCGTTACAAACGTTGAGTTGCTGGTGCACTTCGTCGCCTCTACAGGCGTTTGTCCACCAGCTCGTGACCCTCGCCCGGAACACGCTGGTGAGTACTTGGACGCACGACACACTGACATGCCCATGCTGGTCCCACTACGGGAGTGGACGGCGGCGATCCTGACGGCAGCTCGTTCCCTGGAGACTGTTAGTGGTTGTCGGCTGCTACCTGACCGCAGACGGAAGGTCTACAGCTTACGAACTGCAGGCGTGCAAACGCCTCGGCATGGACTCCAGCAAAGACCGATTCTTGGACAGCTTGGTGTTTGGGATCTCCTAATTGAGGTTCTACATGATGGCGGAGTTTCCCCTCTGCTGGCCTCTTGTACAGAGTACACAGGCCCAGTATTCACCCCACCGCAGGAAGTGTGCAGCGAGCACCATAGCCTGTCGACACAAGAACGACAGCGCCTGTTCAGGTGGCTTCGAAGACTCAGACATTGATGGAACTTCATTCTGAGGTGAGGTGCTGCTTCTTGCTGGCCCTTGCCTCCCTCTTACCCAGTTAAAGGTTTAGGGTTTAGGGTTTAGGGGTTAGGGGTTAGGGGTTAGGGGTTAGGGGTTAGGGGTTAGGGGTTAGGGGTTAGGGGTTAGGGGTTAGGGGTTAGGGGTGAGAGGTTAGCGGTTAGGGGTTAGGGGTTAGGGGTTAGGGTTTATGGAATCAATCGCGGGGGAGGGAGAGAGCCGGGAGATGGGAAGTCAGCATTGAATGGCCTAAACCCACAACCCTCAACCCTCAACCCAAACCCTAAGAGGGCAGAGCGGCTGGTTCTTAAGCTTCAGGTGACTCAGTGACCCTAAACCATAAACCCTAAACCCTAAAACCTAATCCCCAACACCCAAACACCCTATACCCTAAACCCTCAACCCCAACACCCTAACACCCGAACACCCTCAACCCTAAACCCTAAACCCTAAACCCTCAACCCTCAACCCTCAACCCTCAACCCTCAACCCAAACCCTAAGAGAGCAGAGCGGCTGGTTCAGGTCGGCCAGCGTCTTCTTCGGATCCATGGAGTGCGCCGAGTCGTCGATGACGATGAGGACGAAGAGGATCGTCACCTCCGCAAGCGCTTGCGGGCTCTCGGGGGATTAGGGGGATTAGGGGAATTAGGGGGATTAGGGGGATTAGGCGGTTTAAGGTTTAGGGTTTAGGGTTTAGGGTTTAGGGTTTAGGGTTTAGGGTTTAGGGTTTAGGGTTTAGGGTTTAGGGTTTAGGGTTTAGGGTTTGCTGTGATAGGGCGTAGATGCTGTGAAGGTTAGGTTTTGGAACAAGCTCGAAAGCGTCGTGAGGTGCGAAAAGCAGCTTTGGCCCGATTGTGGAAGGCCATCTAACACTTTTCTCCCACCCCACGCCGTCCAAGGCGGCAAAGCCACCCAAACCTATTCCTTTTAGGGTTTAGGCCTAAACTCAAGCCAACTGCTTTCTTTACATAAAACTGCTTCATTCCGTCACGGCTTTTCACAAAAAACAAGCCTCCACAGAGGGAGAAGGACCACGGGCCCAGGCCAGGGTCAGTCTGGGCAGCCCAGGGGCCCGGCAGAGGGGCCCAGAGCGGCCCAGTGAAGGAGGCGCAGAGGAAAAAGGAAGGGGGCTCAGTGAGGCTAGGCAGCCGCCCAATTCCAGGGTCTGAAACCAACGGGCAGGAACCCAGGGGCGCCCAGGATGGCCCAGGCGGCCCAGGAGGCCCAGCGCTCAGGGGGTTCAGGCGGGCCCAGGGGGGGCTAGGGGGCCCCCCCACAAGGGGGGCCCAGGGGGCCCAGCACCCCAAACCCCAAATCCGCTTTTTTGAGCACCCGCCCTGCCTGAGGCCCCCTGGTCCCTGGACACGCTGCGGTGAGGGGTCCGGGTCCTCCTGGCCTGGGGGCCTTGGGGTACCCTCCCCAGAAATGCCAGCACCATCCAGCGTGAAGACCTTTTGGGGTTTAGGGTATTTACTTTATTAAGGGGACCAGTACTGGTCCCCGGGAGAACCTGCTCCGGTACCGGGCCCATCGTGGGTGCTACCGTCCTCCTGGCTGCAGGAGGCGGGCTCGACCTTCGCCATAGAGGTCGAAGGGCTTAAGCGCCGCCCCCCCTCTGTAGGGGGGCGGCCTAGGCCCTGAGTTTAGGGCAGCTGAATATATTATTAGTGAAGCATCCCTAAACCCTGGCCCTAATTTGAACCCTAAACCCCAAACCCTAAACTCCGAACCCTAAACCCTAAACCCTGAATACCTGAAGAAGTCAACCTAGACAGACGTCTTCCAGGCTCTGATGGTTTTGCCCCCAAACCCTCCTTCCCAAGCCCACCAGAAATGCACTAAAGCCTCCAAAGCCCTAAGCCCTGAGACCCTAAACTGTCAGGGTTTAGGGTTTAGGGTTTTATCAGGGTTTAGCGTTTAGTTTAGGGTTTACGGGATGTGGTAAGAATCCCTGCGGGCCATTGTTTAGGATCCCAACCGCATTATTAAACACGCCGAAACATCATCAACCAAAAGCCCACCGTGAAGTGCAACGGTCGCAGGCCTTTAGGCAATTTACCGCCGGAAACCCGAAGCCCAAACCCTTAATCCTAAACGCTAAACCCTAAACCCTAAACCCATAGAACCCCCAAACCCCCCAAGCCCCCTGAAGCCCCTCAGCCCCGAAAACGGAAACAAAAGCATGCTTGATATTCCCCGAAGCCTTAAACCCCCTAAACCCCCTGACCTGATAGCCCAAATCCCTAAACACCTAATTCAACCCGAAAACCCCTAAACCCGAAACCCCAAACCCTAAACCCTAAACCCCAAACCCTAAACCCTAAACCCTGATCCCTAGAGCCTAGACAACCTGAACCTTCTAAACTCCAGGCCTCCACACCCCTAAGCCCTAAAACCTAAACCCGAAACCCCAAACCCTAAACCCTAAACCCCAAACCCTGAACCGGAAACCCTCAAACCCCACTTCTGGAGCACCCGATCGATGGGATCCGCGATGGTATCTTCCCGCAGCATGCGGGGGATGACGTAGGAGGGCACCTCAGTGGGTAGGGTTTAGGGTTTGGGGTTTAGGGTTTAGGGTTTAGGGTTTAGGGTTTAGGGTTTGGGGTTTAGGGTTTAGGGTTTAGGGTTTGGGGTTTAGGGTTTAGGGTTTAGGGTTCAGGGTTTAGGGTTTAGGGTTTGGGGTTTAGGGCTTAGGGTTTCGGGTTTAGGGTTTAGGGTGTAGGGCTTAGGGTTTAGGGTATCCCAGAGTGCCCTCCTGGCTTGAGGTAACTGTACTTATAACCCACTTACAAGTGCCCCAATATGGTTATGAGTACAGTTAGAAGAAAGTACAGGTATAATTGGTTAATAAGTACCATGAACCTCCAAGTAGAGTTCTGGGGGGCGTGCATCCCAAAGGGCACCATTCCCGCATAAAAAAAACCCACTAAACCTGCCAAAACTCGCTGAAAATTGCGAATTTCCTCGAGCCTGAACCTAAACCCTGCACCCCAGACCATGAAAACCCAAACCCTCTAAAACCTAAACCCCTCAACCCTCAACCCTAAACCCTAAACCCTAAACCCTAAACCCCTCAACCCTAAACCGCACGCGTGGAGCAGCTCCAGAACCCTACACCCATGAAACCCGAACCCCCCAAAACCCCAAAACCCCAAAACCACAAAACCCCTAAACCCTAAACCCTAAACCCTAAACCGTGGACCCCCAAACCCCACAACCTCCTCAAATCCCCCAGAATCGGCTGAAAACTCTGATCGAGAACTCATCTTCACATCATTGACATCTCTAAACCCTAAACCCTAAACCCTAAAGCCGGCGTCCGCTGGAAGTTTATTGCATAAGGCAGATCGAGAATATCCCGGAAACGACATGTTAAGAGGCATCTTGCAGCATGCCAACCACTTCCCCCCCCCCCCGAGCGACCTTGTCCAACTACGCATCAGTAGATATGTTGAGTCCTGAGCACGTCAACTCTAAACCTGTACGTTCTCAAACCCTAATCCCTGAACCCGTAAAGCCCCAAAGACCTTAAGTTCACAGAATCCGAAAGCCCCTAGAACCCCTGAAAGCCTTGAACCCTGAACCCTAAACTAACGGAAGCCTACGCCCCTAACCCAAACCAAACCCCAAGCCCTAAGCTCCTAAGCCCGAACCCTAGACCCCGTAAGCCCTTGAATCCCACAGAACCCCTGCAGACCACAAACAGCTACCGGAGGCGCCATGCCGTCAAAGACGTTGTAGAGATCCTCCAGAACCTGGCTTTTTTGTGGGTTTAGGGCTTAGGGTTTAGGGTTTAGGGTTTAGGGTTTAGGGCGTCTCGCCGCGCCGCGGCAGTAGATGTCATGCGGAGATGGCGCCCCAACACACCCAGGGGGTGTGAGGGGCGGCATATGTCGCGGCGGCGTATATTGAAGTTGGAGCCACCACAACCAGAAGGTTGGGTTGTTTTATTTTTCCCACCCCCTGCTTACGCAGGCATCCACCCAACTTTTCTCCTTTTAGGGTTTCGGGCTAACGCCCTAAATTCCCACTTCCCACCGCCATGCTTTGATCGGTTGGGTAGGAGGTTGCCGTGGCTGTGGGTGGTCAGGGGCCAAACACAGGAGGCACAGAGGGTCAAAGGGGGTCGGGCGCAGGGCCGGCCAGGGAGAAGTGGGTAACGAAAGAGGGTTGGGGGGCAAGGGGGGGGGCAGGGGGGGGGGGGCAGGGGCCACAGGGGGGGAGGGGGGGGGCCAGGGCGGGGGCCGGAGGTCAGGGCACAAAAAACCAGGTTTGTAGGTTTGGTAGTGGGTTTCTCAGGCTGACCTGCCTTGCGGCCCCTCTGGTCCCTGAACACGCTCCGCCAGGGGCCCGGCACCAGGGGGCTTTCTTAATAATACTTGAGAATCGGAAGGGGGGCGGGGTACCCAGGTGCAGCTCACGCTCAACACAACTCTTTAGGCTTGCATAGTAAGTCCAAGCGATGGTGTTAATCGCTGTCGGGTGTAGTGCTGGGTCCAGGCACCCTAGAAGAGGGTGGGTACGGCCTAAGCAGGCCTGGGTGGGAATTCAGGGTTTAGGGTTTAGGGTTTAGGGTTTAGGGTTTAGGCTTTAGGCTTTAGGCTTTAGGCTTGAGGCTTTAGGCTTGAGGCTTTAGGCTTTAGGCTTTAGGCTTTAGGCTTTAGGCTTTACCTTTTTAGGGTTTAGGGTTTAGGGTTCAGGTTCCCGACTGCCCCCCCCCCCCCCCCCCAAATGCTAAATCTTTGGTTCCCCCCTTAAATAACCTGAATTCGGCTCAACTCTCCCTAAATAGCCTCAATTCTGAGGGGGACATGATTTTGTACCCCAAACCCTAGTCAAGCCCTAAACCCTAAGCCCTACTCCCTTGTGGGTTTGGCCTTGCTAGGGAGTTGATGGAACCCTAAACCTAAACCAAAAACCCTAAACCCTAAACCCTAAACCCTAAACCCTAAACCCTAAACCCTAAACCCTAAACCCTAAACCCTAAACCCTAAACCCTAACCCTAAACCCTAAACCAAAGACTGTTGGGATCCTCTAAGCACCTGGCCTACACCGCTCTGAGCTCTGCCGGTTTTGGGGGAGTCTTAGGGTCTAGGGTTTAGGGTTTAGGGTTTAGGGTTTAGGGTCTAGGGTCTAGGGTTCAGGGTCCCTCTCATACGACCAGGCCTTAATAGGGATTCTAGTACCCCCCTATTGTAATCCCTATTCAGGACTGTTCGTATACGGGGGGAACATCCCAAGTCTACGGTTCGAGAGGGTTGTTAAGGGCTTTTGGAAGCTTTTGGGGGGGGTTTTAGGGAGGTTTGCGGTTTAAGGTTTAGGGCTTATGGGCTGTAGGAGGTTTTAGGTGGTTTGGAGCTCTTGGGGGGGGTGCTTTTTCTAGTTCAGGTTTAGGGCTTCTTGGGGTTCAGGAGTTGCTTTAGGAGTTTAGGGCTGGCCAGCAACAACCCCCAAGCCCCTCAACCCCGAACCACAAAGCACAAAATGCTAAACCCGACCACCAGCCCAGCCATGAACCCTAAACTCTGCAATAAGCACCCTGAACCCTTAGCCCTGGCCAAACCCTAAATCCTAAACCCTACAAACCCCACACCCTAAACCCCACACCCCAAACCCTAAAACCTTAACCCCACACCAGAAAACCGCCCCAACCCCACACCGGGCACGTGTCCTTCTTCTCCTCGTAGTCGATGCGGAACTGGCGGCGCAGCCCCTGCAGGCTTCAGTTTCAGGGGTCCAGGGTCTAGGGACTAGGGTTAAGGGTTTAGGGTTTAGGGTTTAGGGTCTAGGGAGTCGGGTTTAGGGCTTAGGGTTGATCGATAGCACTGGCTTAGGCGGCTGACATGGAATTCACTGTGTGTCCTGCTCAGCTGATCTTTTCAACTGGCCATTCTTCCCCCACAAAATTGCTTGCATCCACAACCCTAAAACACAAAGCCCTCAACCCTACATAACCCCAAACCCTGCACCCTGAACCCTAAATCCTAAGAGAACTGGGAGTCAGAAAGGAAAGCCAGCAGGCATTCATTGGCAAAACATCGCATGGTCGTCAAGGCCGCGACACCTAAATCCGAGTCCCCAAGTATCTCGGTCGGTTTCTCGGACGTATCCACTAATAACCTTTTTCATACAAGTATTCTTTCTAACTCACCAATATCTATTATTCAATGCAGTATATTATTTTCCATGAATTTTTCATTGTTAAAAGACAGAAAACGATGAACATGTTTGTCCAATTTTCTAGCATCAGCCAGTAAGCTAATCGCTTAAGGGTTAGCTGTTCGTTTTTCACGCACCTCGAATGCATCGTTCTGCAAATGCACCAAAATTATACCACAGAGCTGATGTCTGAAGACCCTGAACCCTAAACCCTAACCCCTAGACCCTAAACCCTAAAACCCTAAACCCTAAGAATGACACATGCTCTCTCTAAGGAGGCAACGCCAAGAATGACGTACTGCATGTATCAGTCAAAGCAAATCAATCCTTTCGAGAGTAAGAGCTTCTCTATAGAAACTCTGCCTGGAACTATCAGAAAGGTTTGGGGTCTAGGGTTTAGGGTTTAGGGTTTAGGGTTTAGGGTTTAGGGTATAGGGCTTAGGGTTTAGGGTTTAGGGCTTAGGGTATGATAGTCCTCACAAAGGTTGTCGTACTTCTTCCATTTGCCACTCTTTGGAGATTCGGAGGCTTCAGGGCTTCGAGGCATGGATGAGGGTCGAGGGATTGAGGGATTGAGGGATTGAGGGATTGAGGGTTTAGGGTTCAGGGGTTGAGGGTTGAGGGTTGAGGGTTGAGGGTTGAGGGTTGGGGGTTGGGGGGTTGGGGGGTTGGGGGGTTGGGGGGTTGGGGGTTGGGGGTTGGGGGTTGGGGGTTGGGCTTCGTGTTTAGGATTTAGGGTTGAGAGTTTGAGGAAAAGCTCCCAAAGCCTCAGCCCTCAAGCCCCACTCGGCCTTCTCCAGGAAGTACTTCCTGAGATGCGTGCCCCCAAAACCCTGCAGCTCCTACATGCCTAAACCCTAAACCCTAAACCCGAAACCCTAAATGCCTAAACCCTGTATGCCCCCAGAACACAGGCAAAAAAGCTTTGATCGGCGTCTTGGGGCTTCGGGGCCTGCAGGCATTCAGGTTTGGGATTTAGGGGTTTAGTGTTTAGAGTTTGGGGTTTAGGGTTCAGGGTTTAGGGTTTAGGGTTTAGGGTTTAGGGTTTAGGGTTTAGGGTTTAGGGTTTAGGGTTTAGGGTTTAGGGTTTAGGGTTTAGGGTTTAGGGTTTAGGGTTTAGGGTTTAGGGTTTAGGGTTTAGGGTTTAGGGTTTAGGGTTTAGGGTTTAGGGTTTAGGGTTTAGGGTTTAGGGTTTAGGGTTTAGGGTTTAGGGTTTAGGGTTTAGGGTTTAGGGTTTAGGGTTCGGGAGGCGGAGCCCATGCAGTCCCAGCGTCTTCATCGTGCCCAGGCAGGCGGTGACGCCCTCGGATGGGATCGAAGCTCTGGATTCCAAAAAAGGCTGGTTCAGGCTTTAGGGTTTAGAGTTTAGGGCTTAGGGTGTAGGGTTTAGTTAGGGTTTAGGGTTTAGGGTTTAGGGTTTAGGGTTTAGGGTTTAGGGTTTAGGGTTTAGGGTTTAGGGTTTAGGGTTTAGGGTTTAGGGTTTAGGGTTAAGGGTTAAGGGTTAAGGGTTAAGGGTTAAGGGTTAAGGGTTTAGGGTTTAGGGTTTAGGGTTTAGGGTTTAGGGTGTGTCAGGGGAGGGCGCGCGCTCGGGTGTGAAACACCCCGGGCCGCGCGCTCGCGTTGCCCGTCAACCCACCCCGGCCACCCAACCTATACTCTATTAGGGTTTAGGGTTTATGGAATTTACTTTCTTGTGCTCTGATGCTTGCTTTGATGTTTTTAAAGTTGCGCTGTTAGGGTTTAAGCTGGGGTTGGGGCTAGCCTCGGCCCTTTTCGGGCCTTCGGCGTGTCAGGGCCCGTAGAGGCCCTTATTTATTTGAAGGTCAGGGAAACCCTTTGTGTCTGCTTTTGGATTCCCCTTCTTTAAGGGCCTCAATTAAGCATCGATTTCACTACCAAAAAATCGCATTTTTCATTGCGGGTACGGGCATCCTGGGGTCCCCCTTCTTTTAGGGGGCCTTTTGAAGCCTTTTGAAGTATTTTGGTGGCTCTTGGGGTCTCTCGGGGCCTTGTTCGGACCTTCGGCGTGTCAGGGGCCGTAGAGGCTTTATTCATTTAAAGGTCAGGGAACCTATTAATGAATTTTTCGCCAATGAGTCTTTCAATCGCTAGGGTTTAAGCTCGGGTTCGGGGTAGCCTCGGCCCTTTTCGGGCCTTCGGCAAGTTAGGGCCCGTAGAGGCCCTTATTTGCTTGAAGGCCTTCGGAGGGTTTTGCGGTGTTAGGGTTTAAGCTGGGGTTCGGGGTAGCCTCGGCCCTTTTCGGGCCTTCGGCACGTTAGGGCCCGTAGAGGCCCTTATTTGCTTGAAGGCCGTCGTAGGGTTTTGCGGTGTCAGGGTTTAGGCGGGGGTTCGGGGTAGTTTCGGTCCTTTTCGGGCCTTCGGCACGTGGGCCCGTAGAGGTCCTTGCTGATTTAGGGGGAGCCATCGATTTCAATACTAAAAGGCGGGCAGGGGCTAAAAGCAATGTTTTCAATATTCTCATTGTGGGCACGGACAAATCTTGTGGTCCCCCTTCTTTTAGTGGGCCTTTTGAAGCTTTTGAAGCTTTTGGTGGCTCTTGGCGCCTCTTGGGGGCTTCCTAGGCCCTTAGCCGAGCCCTGGTTGGGGGGGCCCTTGGCAGGGTGTTAGGCCAAGGGGGCGTATTGTTGGGGGTTCTTGACGGTCTTGGCCGGTCCTTGAGTCCTTGGCTCCCTTGGCTTGGGGGGCCCTTGGCCTGCGCCCTTGGCCAAAGGGCCCCCCGGGCCAAGGGCCCCCCGGGCCAAGCGGGTCCGGGCCAAGGGCCAAGGGCCCCCCGGGCCAAGGGCCCCCGGCCAAGGGCAAGGGTCAAGGGCTTCCCGGCCAATAGGTCCCCGCCAAGGCAAGGGTCCCCCAGGCCGGGGGGCCCTTGGTCCGGGGGGCCTTGGCCCTTGGCCCGGGAGGCCCTTGGCCCGGGGGCCCTTGGCCTGGGGGGCCCTTGGCCCGGGGGGCCCTTGGCCCGGGGCCCTTGGCCCGGGGGGCCCTTGGCCCGGGGGGCCCTTGGCCCGGGTTGGAAATGTGAAAAAGCCCCCAAAATCACGAAATTGAGCAACCAGCCTGCCTGGACCCCTCGCCAGCCTCCTGGTCCAGGAATCCAGCTACCAGGGACCAGGGGGCCCCCGGCGGGGGGGGCCCGACAAACCCTGAACCCAAAACCCTGAACCGACCTCCAGAGGCAAAGGGTTACGATTTGGGGTTATACTTTAGCTACGCTAAAGGTGGTCTGGGTGCCGGCCATCCCTTAGCCTAGTACTGACGTTGTCGTAAAAAAGGCCGATGTCCGTTGGCCTGTCCAGGACAGACGGTGAGGCTTAACCCTCACCTTTCCGTTTCTCTTTTCGCTTGGGCGCTCGGGCTGTAAGGCCCTCGGCCGAGCGTTCGGGGTCTGTCGCTCGACGGAAGCGACCCCTCACTTAGTTTAGGGTTTAGGGTTTAGGGTTTAGGGTGAGGGTTTAGGGTTTAGGGTTTAGGGTTTGGGGTTTGGGGTTTAGGGTTTAGAGAGGGGGTTTCGGCTTTTAGGGGCCTTAGTTGGGATGTTCCCCTGAACCAACAGTCCTTAGTGGGGATCATGGTAGCCCCTATTGTATCCCCTATTTAGGACTGTTCGCAGGGAAAAGTCCCCAGGTCTTAGGGTTGATGAAAGACGAAACCCCCTTCTACTTGAGGAGGGCATCGGGTTTAGGGTTTAGGGTTGAGGGTTGAGGGTTTAGGGTTGAGGGTTGAGGGTTTAGGGTTTAGGGTTTAGGGTTGAGGGTTTAGGGTTTAGGGGTCAAGGGGTTGGGGTTGGAGGGGGGGCTTCTTTGGAGGTTTCGGGGTCTATGGCTCAAGGTTCCGAAGGCAGAGCTGGAAGGATGAGTTTGAGGGCTCAAGGAGTTCAGTTTAGGGTTTAGGGTTTAGGGTTTAGGGTTTAGGGTTTAGGGTTTAGCGTTTAGGGTTTAGGGTGTAGGGTTTAGGGTTTAGGGTTTAGGGTTTAGGGTTTAGGGTTTAGGGTTTAGGGTTTAGGGCTTAGGGTTTAGGGTTTAGGGTTTAGGGTTTAGGGTTGAGGGTTCAGAGGTTAAGGCCCTACCCTTTTAAACCTGCGTTTAGTAGAACCCCAGCATATACACGCAAATGATACCCTAAAAGGCAACTGACCGAAAGGGAGCGTCCTAAATCGGGGCCTCGTTCGACAGTAACAACCTTTACAGTGTGACTACTTGCACGCCCGGCGGCAAGCAAGACGAAGTGCAGCGGAAGATCATCCTCCCAAGGTTTGGGGTTTGGTGGTTTGGGCCGTCCCTAAACCCCTCAACCTCAACCTTGACAAGGGGCTTTAGGATGTAGGGTGTGGGGTTCAAGGTTGAGGGTTCTTGATAGGGCTCTTAAGGGAGGGGGGTTCCCTAATAATTACTTCCCAATACTCCCTAAGGCTCCCTAGGCTTCCCGAAGGTTCCCTAGGTACCTACCCCCCATGAACCCCCTAAACCCTAAACCCTAAACCCTAAACCCTAAACCCTAAACCCTAAACCCTAAACCCTAAGCCCTAAGCCCTAAGCCCTAAGCCCTAAACCCTACCCAAACCCAAAAACCTAACCCCGAAACCCTGAATCCTGAACCCTTGAACCCTAAACCCTAAAACCTTATCCTCCCTTACGAACACTAGAAGTTCTTCGAGCCTGAAGACTAGAGTCTGCCCGGCGGTCCTCGTGAATCATCTCCCCGGAGAACGCGTCGTACACCCAGCTGCAGCCGGTATAAATAAAAACCTCATTGAGAGTTCAGGGCTTAGGGTTTGGAGTTTAGGGCTTCAGGTTTAGGGCTTAGGGTTTAGGGCTTAGGGTTTGGAGTTTAGGGCTTCAGGTTTAGGGCTTAGGGTTTAGGGCTTAGGGCTTAGGGCTTAGGGTTTAGGGTTTAAGGCTTAGGGCTTAGGGCTTAGGGTTTAGGGCTTAGGGCTTAGGGCTTAGGGCTTAGGGCTTGGGGCTTAGGGCTTAGGGCTTAGGGCTTAGGGCTTAGGGCCTTAGGGTTTAGGGGAGACCGGCGAAAGTGGCTTGGTAGCAAGGAGCTCGAGCTTAGGGCTTTGAACTCATGGGTCTCCCTACCCTTTTCGATGATCCCTAACCAGCCTGAATTATGGCGGGAACCTTAGTATAGAGGGGCTAGTAGGGGAACCCATGATAAACCCGAAACCCGAAACTGCTAGGGAGTTTGGGGAATAAAGCTTTTGGCCACAGGCCCTAGACCCTCAACCCCCGCCCCAAAACCCCAAAACCCCACAACCCCAAAACCCCAAAGCCCCAAAACCCCAAGACCCCAAAACCCCAAAACCCCAAACTCCAAACCCCAAAAATCCAACACCCAAAAGCCCAAAACCCCAAAGCCCCAAAACCCCAAACACCCCATACACCCCAAACACCCCATACACCCCCACGACCCCAAAACCCCAAAAAAACCCACAACCCCAAACACCCCCAAAACCCCCCGCAACCCCAAACACCCCAAACACTCCCAAAACCCCTAAACTCCCAAAACTCCAAAGCCCCTAAGCTCCCAAAACCCCAAACACTCCCAAAAACCTACCCCAAAACCCCAAAACCCCTAAACCCTAAACCCTAAGAAGCCCTTTCAGACTCTCAGCTTGGGACTCTGGAGCTGGCCCAAACCCTAAACCCTAAACCCTAAACCCTAAACCCCAAACCCCAAACCCCAAACCCCAAACCCTAAACCCTAAACCCTAAACCAAAAGAAGCCCTTCCCCACCTTGAGCCTGTCTGGGACCCCCCGCCAGCCACACGAAGGTGTAGGACCAACAGTCGAACTGAGGCAGCACGTATGGCCTGGTTTTAGGGTTTAGGGTTTAGGGTTTAGGCCTTAGGGCTTAGGGCTTAGGGCTTACTGCACCAGCCAATAGTTCGACCCACCGACATCTAGGGGTCCTGGCTCCTGTGACCCGCCCTCTTCCCCATAGACTCCTGACACAAGTGAGCCTGGGGCCTCCTCCGGAGCTTCTATAGTATTATATTTTTCAAAACGGGGTATTAATTCTCCGCTAGCAGGCGTAGGGCAAACGCTACTTCTCGGCACTCCGCTACTCCGCGGGAGCCTTCACTGTCTGCATGCCATTCAACATGTGCCGTGGGTCGAAACTTTCGGCCCGGGGGTGTAGGGCTCAGGACTTAGGGTGGATTCTGAGACCCCCTTGAAATTGGAGTCTAAAAATCCTTAACCTGTAAGCCCCAATTTAGAGTTGAGGGTACAGGGTGTTGAACTTGAAACCCTAAACCCCCAACCGCAAGACCCCCTAACCAAGAGTTGAGGGTACAGGGCTTTTGTTTTGTTTTTTTTGTGGTGGGGGGGGGGGGGCGGGGATGTTGTTCAGGTTCACACGTGCGCTTGACATTCCGTCTTGACGAGGTCTCTAACCTCGCCGTCTGGTCGCCTCTGCCGAATAGGAGGCTTAGGGATGAGGGATGAGAGGTTTATGCAGGGTTCAGGGGTTAGCGCCGGTGAGCCCTTAAAATACAGCATTGGAAGCACTGAAACCTCAAAGCCCTCCAAGCCCTCAAAAGGCCTCAAAGGCCTCAAATTTCCGAGACTCCCCAAGCTGCATGGAGTTGGTCGTCTTTTGTCAACTTCGGCTTGTGGCCGGGTTTAGGGTTTAGGGTTTAGGGTTTAGGGTTTAGGGTTAGGGTTTAGGGTTTAGGGTTTAGGGTTTAGGGTTTAGGTTTTAGGGTTTAGGGTGTAGGGTTTAGGGTGTAGGGTTTAGGGTTTAGGGTTTAGGGTTTAGGGTTTAGGGTTTAGGGTTTAGGGTTTCGGTCTGAGGTTACAGCCACGGCCTGCAGCCTGATCCCCAACGCCCCAAAGCAGGCGCGGCAAACTCTCCCAAGGCAGAACCCGGAACTGCGAAACCCCAAACCCTAAGTCCTAGACCCGAACCCCGAACCCCAAATGCTGAACACCCCCTCAACGCCCCCAAACCCTAAACCCTAAACCCCCCTAAACCCCAAGCCCCAAACCCCAAACCCCAAAACACAAACCCTAAACCCTAAACCCCAAACCCCAAACCGGGGTTTTGGTTCGGGGGGTTGGGGTTGAGGTTGAGGGGTTTATATAAGGGTTTGGGGCCTAAACCCTACACCCTAAACCCTAAACCCTACACCCTAAACGCTAAACCCTAAACCGGGTTGATTCAAGCACGCGACATTACCAGCATCCACAGCTGCAGCATCTGGCAGGCTGTGTGGCCCTGGCCGGGAAAGGAAATCCTAAAGTCGGGCTTGCGGATCTCTGGGATTAGGGTTTGGGGTTTAGGGTTTAGGGTAGTCGCCACTCCCCCTGCAAAGGAACAGTCCCAGAGGTCGCCTGCAGCGTGCAGTCCTTCTTGAGGTTGGCCGTCCGGATGGACTCTTCATTGCAGAACTGGCAGGCTATGGTGTTCGGGCTTAAGGTTTAGGGTTTAGGTTTAGGTTTTGGGGTTTGGGGTTTAGGTTCCGGGTTTAGGGCTTAGGGTTGTTGGAGGCTTCGGGTCTAAACCCTACCTAGGAAACCCTGACAACCCTCTAACTTGCTTGAGAGGGTTTTGGGGCATAAATTGTTTTAAACCCTAAACCCTTGTAATCGTGGTTTTTTCGTTCAGCGAACCCTAAACCCTGAACACTCGCGGCTTTCTGCTGGCAGGTCACTGAGCAGCGAGAGTTTCCCCTGCTTCCCCTTTGTAAGGTTTCAGGGTTCACTCAAAAGCGCTAAAAAAGATACCTTGCATCCACTGAACCCTAACAAACCTTCAACTGGAAACCCTGATGCTTCAAAACTGAACCCTAAACCCTAAAGCCTAAACCCTAAACGCTAAACCCTAAACCCTAAACCCCAAACCCTAAACCCCAAACAAGGTCCCCGTTTGTCAGGCCGTGGCCATGCCGCTGAGGCTCCCTTCCTCGCCGCAGCATGTGGCTCCCTAAACCCCAAACCTCCGGTACCTCGGTCATGCTGGCCAGCTCGTCGCATGAGATCCCGAGGGGCCAGACGTTCACCGCCTCACTTTTCTAAGAATAACTCACCATACCCCAAACCCATACCCCTTCAACCTATGAAAGTATGATATAAAGGGAATCTATGGGAGGATTTTACCTTTGAGGGGTCTGCCCGAGGGGTATGTTGAATATTTCTTAGAACTTTACTTTGGGGTCGGGGCTTTGGGGTTTCGGGGTTAGAGGTTTAGGGTTAGGCTTGAGGGGTTCAGGGTTCAAGGCTTAGGGCTTAGGGCTGAGGGCTTAGGGCATAGGGCTCAGGGCTTAGGGCTTAGGGCTTAGGGCTTAGGGCTTAGGGTTTAGGGTTTAGGGTTTAGGATTTGAGGTTTAGGGTTTAGGGTTTAGGGTTTAGGATTTAGGGTTTAGGGTTTAGGGTTTAAGGGTTAAGGGTTAAGGGTTAAGGGTTAAGGGTTAAGGGTTAAGGGTTAAGGGTTAAGGGTTAAGGGTTAAGGGTTAAGGGTTTAGGGTTTAGGGTTTAGGGTTTAGGGTTTAGGGTTTAGGGTTTAGGGTTTAGGGTTTAGGGTTTAGGGTTTAGGGTTCCTTGCGCGCATGGGGGAGCCATGTGCCAGTCCGGCAAGCATGCCACTCACAGCTATGGGGGAACTCGAGGTTTCGGGGGTCGAGGGTCTTACGGATTAGGGGTCTTTTGGCTTTTACGTAGGGTCTTGGGGTATTAGGGTGTTCGGGTCTTAGGGTCTTAGGGTCTTAGGGTCTAGGTTCTTAGGTCTTCGGGTCTTAGGGTCTTAGGGTCTTAGAGTCTTAGGGTCTTCGGGTCTTCGGGTCTTCGGGTCTTAGAGTCTTAGGGTCTTAGGGTCTTACGAGGATCTTCAAGTTCAGGATCTAGGGGTCTTAGGGTTGAGGGCTGAAATCCTCGAAAGTCCAAGGGGATGGCGAACACCGAAGGTCTGAAGCGCAAAACTCCCAGATCCATGTTCTCTTGGTAGTCTCCACCCTGAGCGGGCAAAAGGTCCTTCATGTTGCTGCGTGACGTGTGCTCCCATGGTAAGAGGTTCATTGCCGCCAGGGCCTGGCGACTCGGCAGGCTGTCATCCATCTCGTTGCCCACGGCATGTCCCCCTGGACCGCGATGATTGGGTACTGTGCGCTGACAAGCTCGCGTCCCAAGTCTCCCAACTATTCCACGTGTCCCCCATCCCCTAAGCCCCAAACCCTGAATGGGTTTAGGGTTCGGGTTTAGCTTCTAGGGTCTAGGGTTTGGGGTTTGGGGTTTGGGGTTTAGGGTTTGGGGTTTAGGGTTTAGGGCTTAGGGTTTGGGTTTAGGGTAGCAATATCATGTGAAATGCTTTATTATTATTGTATACATATTTATCTAAATTACAATCTACGTGGGTTTAGGGCTTTGTAAGCCTGAACCTTAAAACATCCTAGCCCCTTAAACCTTAAGGCAGCACAAACCCCTGAACCCCCACCCCACAGCTCTCTACCCCAAACCCCCTCTCTGGGCTACAATACCCCCTAAACCCTCAACCCTGAACCCTAACCCCTACCCCCAAACCCTAAACTCCTGAAATCCCAGAAGAAGCCCAGAGTGCCCCCCCCTGCAAAGAGGCCCGGAGCCCTGAACCAAGGAGCTTAGGGTCTAGGACGTCGGGGGTTTAGGGTTTGGGGGGTTTAGGGTTTTAGGGTTTTAGGGTTTTAGGGTTTTAGGGTTTTAGGGTTTTAGGGTTTTAGGGTTTTAGGGTTTTAGGGTTTTAGGGTTTTAGGGTTTTAGGGTTTTAGGGTTTTAGGGTTTTAGGGTTTTAGGGTTTTAGGGTTTTAGGGTTTTAGGGTTTTAGGGTTTTAGGGTTTTAGGGTTTTTGGGTTTTTGGGTTTTTGGGTTTTAGGGTTTTAGGGTTTTAGGGTTTTAGGGTTTTAGGGTTTTAGGGTTTGGGGCTTAGGGCTTAGGGAACCAGCTGGACCCAGCTGCCAGGAAGAAGGTGGCGAAGAAAAGCACGACGCCCCAGTAGGTCCAGTCCTTGGCCCCCATACATTTCTTCAAAACCCGAAGGGGTTAGGGGGTTTAGGGTTAGGGTTTAGGGTTTAGGGAGTAGGGTTTAGGGTTTAGGGTTTAGGGCTTAGGGCTTAGGGTTTAGGGCTTAGGGCTTAGGGCTTAGGGCTTAGGGCTTAGGGCTTAGGGCTTAGGGCTTAAGGCTTAGGGCTTAGGGTTGAGGGTTTAGGGTTCCCTGAAACCTACAACCCCAGACCCTGGAACCCTGAAACCCTGAAACCCCAAACCCTAAATCCTAAACCCTTCCTCAAGTTAAAGGTTTTGGGGCTGGGGTTTAGGGTTGTTTGGAGTTTAGGGCTGAAGGGACCCCAGGGAAGAATGTAGGGTTTAGGGCTTAGGGAATTAGGGTTTAGGGCAAGCCCGAAGCACCCCAACAAATGGACAAGCTTTGAAGACTCCTAACACACCCAGACCCTCAACCTTAAGACCCCCCTGTAAACCCTTAAACTCCGAAGCCCTTGCAGCCCAATCCCACATTCCAACACCCTAAGCCTCCCTAAACCCTAAACCCTAAACCCTAAACCCTAAACCCTAAACCCCTGAAGCCAAAAAGCCCCGAAACCCATAACCCCCGAGCTCCAAACCCTGAAACCCTGCAAGCCTGAAAGCCTGAAGCCCTAAAGCCCTGAAACCCTGAACCCTGAAGCCTGAACCCTGAAACCCTAAGCCCTAAAACCCTCAAACCGCCGAAACCCTGAACCCTGAAACCCTAAACCCTAAAACCCCTGAAACCCTGAACCCTAAATCCTAACCCCTAAAACCCGGAAACCCTAAAACCCTAAACCCTAAACCCTAAACCCTAAACCCTGAACCCTGAAACCCTAACCCTAAACCCTAAACCCTAAACCCTGAACCCTAAACCCTAAACCCAAAACCCTAAACCCTGAAACCCTAACCCTAAACCCTAAACCCTAAACCCTAAACCCTAAACCCTAAACCCTGAACCCTGAACCCTAAACCCTAAACCCTACATGAATGAACCCGGGGTGCGGCCCATGCCCCCTTGGATGGATCGGCATTCGGCAGGAGGATGGTGAGAAAAAAGAACACCTGGCGGGTTTAGGGCTTAGGGCTTAGGGCTTAGGGCTTAGGGCTTAGGGCTTAGGGCTTAGGGCTTAGGGCTTAGGGCTTAGGGCTTAGGGCTTAGGGCTTAGGGCTTAGGGCTTAGGGCTTAGGGTTTAGGGCTCAGGGCTTGGGGTTTAGAGTTTAGGACTGCAATGCTTAAGAGCCACCCAAAAAAAAACCGAAGAGACAGTCTTCCCTATCAGGGCAATGTAGGGATCATTCTGCCAATTTTTTGGTGGGTCTTGAGCCCTAAGCCCTAAACCCTAAACCCTAAACCCTAAACCCCAAACCCTAAACCCTAAACCCTAAACCTTAAGCAGATAGTACCTAGGGCCTTGAGTTGGATCGGGGGCTTGTGTGTCTGAGGGTTCCGGCGCTCAAGGGTTGCGGGTTTAGGGTCTAGGGTATAGGGTAGAGGGTTTCGGTTTAGGGGATAGGGTATAGGGTTTAGAGTTTAGGGTTTAGGGTTTGGGGTTTAGGGTTTATGGTTTAGGGATTAGAGCCTTAGGGTTGAAGGGCTTTAGGGTTCAGTGGGGTTCAAAGGCTCAAGGGCTTTATGACGGGTTCGAGGGTTTAGGGCTTCGGGAGTGCATAAGGCTTAGGGTTGAGGGATTTACGTTTCGGGTTGAGGAATGTTTGGGGTTTAGGGTTTAGGGTTTAGGGTTTTGGGTTTTGAGTTTTGGGTTTTGGGTTTTGGGGTGTTGGGTTTGTGGATGAAGGGTATCAAACCGGCTCCCCAAAGCCCCGGCAGAACCATGGATGGGACTGCTCTTTCCAGGGTGGGCCCTTTATTGGGGTCCCTTGCTACATAATCCTGATATACACCATCTAAATTCATGAAGGCCCCTACTTCGGATCTCTAGAAACAAGGGTAAGGGGAAACATAGATTCATGTTGGAGGGAAGGGGGAGGAGTGCGGGAAGCTGAAACCCTAAACCCTAAACCCTAAACCGGTTGTCGAGTTTAGGGGCCCTCCCTCAAGCCACCTTCGAGAGAACGATCATGGAGACGACTTCCACGAGCTTGCGCACCCACCAGCCATCTGCGGTTTAGGGTTTAGGATTCAAGGTTTAGGGTTTGGGGTTTGGGGTTTGGGGTTTAGGGTTTGGGGTCCGCCGACCCTGGCGGCGTGTTGGATGGGAAAAGGAGGTGAAACCTCCCTCTTTCCCTCCTTACCCCCCCAAAACGCGGGGGGGGTGGGGGGGGGAGGGGGGGGGGGGGGGGGGGGGTGGGGGGGGGGGTCGGTGCACAATTTTTTCGTGGAGGACCGCGCCACCCGCACAGCGTAAACAGGGGTTCAGCACGGGGGGGTAGGGGCGCCCTCAGCAAAATCAGCGTTCCCGCCCCTCCCCCCACCCCCCCCTGCCCCCCCCCCAACCGCCCCCCCCCCCCCCCCCCCCCCCCCCCCCACCCCCACCCCCCCCCACCCCCCCACCCCCCCCCCCACCCCCCCCACCCCCCCCCCAACACCCAACCCCCACCCCCCCCCCCCCCCCAACCCCCCCCCTCCCCCACCCCCCCCCAACCCACCCCCCCACCCCCCCCCCCCACCCCTCCCCCCCCCACCCCCACCCACCTTCTTTTGGCTTGAGCTTGTCCTGGTGCTACCCCCTACCCCCCCCAAACGATTCACGAACTCTGCCGGGATGATCTTCCATGCGAGCGGGTCTCAACTATGCTCCAGCGGGGTCGGCGGCTTTGAGCCGGAGGCTCTTAAATTTGGGGTTTAGGGTTTAGTTTCGGGAGAAGGTTCAGGACGCTCTGGCAATTAAGTTGGCTTGCCAGCGCTTTGGGGGGTCACTCGGAGCCCTTGGGTTTCGGGCTTAGGGTTTGGGGCTTAGGCTCACTTGGCAGCTCTTTTGACCAAAACACAATCTACCCAGTATCCCCTATACCTTGATTAGAATCCCCCATCACCCACCACTACAACCCTACGTACTAAGTCAAAAGCCTAAGAGGTGTTGGCGTTTTCAAGGCGATCGGTTCTTTCAAGTACTGTTGTTGCGGTACGGGTATGAAAAGGTTTTGGGGGGGGGGGGGGGGGGTTGGGGCTTTTGGGGGTTTGCAGAGAGTTTAGGGCTTGGCAGGGGGTGTTATAGGGGATAGGGTCTAGGCAGCAAGAGGCGATCCGCAAATTTGCTTGTACCGCTCACTCTCCCAGTAAACCTTCCCAAGCCTGCGGGGTTTACCGGGCATTAGCCTAAAGCGCTGCAATGAGACCCACCTGGCCATTTGCCTTGCAGCACATTCTCATGTTGCTGGGTCGGAAGTTTCCATGTCTGATTGGGGGCCCCGAAAAAGGCCCCAATCAACCCTAGACCCCAGCCCCCCACTTTCTTTCTTTCTTTCTTTTTTGTTTCTTTCTTTCTTTCTTTCTTTCTTTCTTTCTTTCTTTCTTTCTTTCTTTCTTTCTTATGAAGCGTTTGCTTCGCTGACTGCGTGCCGCACAAATGGTTCCTTAAACCCCCAAACAGCCCTAACCCCAAGGCCTAAACCCCAAAACTTAAGCCCCCGAAGTCCTCCGCTGCAGGTGCTGAGCTCGTGGATGGAGTAGGCCCGATCCGCGATCATCCCTACCGCGACCTTGGATCTTTCTGGGATCCTCGTTTGGTAGGGCTTAGGGTCTACCCACACCCCTGAGCCAAAAAGTAAAGACCTCTAAGGGTTCCGAAGAATGACCTAATAGTGGTATAGGGTACCATGTAGGGGGGTTCTACTTTTTGGATCCTCCCAGGGGTCTGGGCATAGAGTCTACCTGGGTCTACCTAAATTTTAAAATAAGGCCACCGCAACACTTTTAAGTCCTGAACCCTAAACCCTTATTTGGGCCTTACCTGGGGCTGAGGGTAGAGCCTGGTAGAGCTTGCATGACTGCCCGTCAGGGGCCTAGGGGTGTAGACAAAGACGGGGTCTGTTCAAAGCAGTGACCCGTTTGGGGACAAGTTCGCCCCTGCAAAAATTAATCATCAGCTCCCTCCGTGCAAAACCCCGGAATCCTCAACCCTATAAGCCTTATAGCCCAAACCTTGAACCCCAACCCTGGCCCCAAACCCATGGGCTTAGGAGCGTATAGCCCGCGGGGCAACAGGCTTGGGAACCCCCACCCCCCAAACTGCAAAACCCGGGTTTGAAGGCACCCTAAACCCGAAACGCTAAACCCTCAACCCTCAACCCTCAACCCTAAACCCTAAACCCTAAACCCTGAACCCTGAACCCTGAACCCTAAACCCTAACCGGTTCAAAAATACTCCGAGGGGCCATGGCCAGTATCACCGCACCCCGGCGTTTGCTCTTTGGGTAGCTGTCCTGCGGTTTTCTGGCTTGGGGCTTAGGGTTTGGGGTTTAAGGTTTCGGGTTTGGGGTTTGGGGTTTAGGGTTTAGGGTTCAGCCCTCAACTCCTAAAACCCTCAACCCTCTTGGAACCCCAGATTTCGGGCTTTGGGGTTTAAGGGCTTCAGGGTGTGGGGTTTAGGGGCTTTAGGGTTTTGGGGGTTTAGGAGTTTCGTGCTTGAACCCTAAACCCTAAACCCTAAACCCTAAACCCTAAACCCTAAACCCTAAACCCCAAACCCTAAACCCTAAACCCTAACACACGCCTCGAACCACTTCCGCTCGAAGTCGTCGCCGGCGAAGCGGAGCGAGAGGCCAAGCTTCAGCTTCTGGCCAAGGCTTCTGGCTTTCGGGGGTTCTAGGGTTTAAGGCTTAGGGGTTTCGGGTTTAGGGTTTAGGGTTTAGGGTTTCAGGCTTTGGGTTGGGGGGTTTAGGGTTTAAGGCTTAGGGGTTTAGGGTTTAGGGTTTAGGGTCCGCCGACCTTGGCGGCGTGTTGGATGGGTTTGAGGAAGTGAAAACCTCCCTCTTGCCCTCCTTACCCCCCAAAACGCGGGGGGGGGCCCCCCCCCTCCCCGCCCCCCCACCCCTGTCTTTTTGGCTTGAGCTTGTCCTGGTGCGACCCCCTACGTTTCACAGAACTCTGCCGAGCAGGCTGGGATGATCTTCGAACCATGCGAGCGGGTTTAGACCTCTCAACTATGCTCCAGCGGGGTCGGCGGCTTGAGCCGGAAGCTCTTAATTTAGGGTGTAGGGTTAAGTGTTTAGGGTTTCGGGTGCAGGGTTTAGGACTTGGGGTTTAGGGTTTAGGATCTAGGTCTTGAGGGTTTAGGATCTAGCGCTTTAGGGTTTCGGGTTTAGGGTGTAGCGTTTGGGATTTAGGATTTGGGATTTAGGGCTTAGGGTTTAGGGGTTGAGCGTCTCATGGACTAGCTCTCACAAGTCAAGGCAGAACGCTCACGCACCCAGAGAATTCATATACCATTTAAGAACATAAAGCTCACCGGCGCCGATTGACCAGGATTACCAGAGCACTGCTGCCGATTGACCGAAATCGTAAAAGCACCGGTGGCCGATTGACCGAAATCGCAAGAAACAAAACGGTGCCGACTGACCGAAATCGTGAGAAAAAAAGGTGGCCGATTGACCGAAATCGCAAGAACACCGGTGCCGATTGACCGAAATCGTGAGCGAAATCGTAAAAACACCGGTGGGCAGACTGACCGAAATCGTAAAAAGGTTTGTATATATATATATATATATACATATATATATATATATGAAGAAGATGGAATTATTAGGATCTAAGGCTTAGGTGTAGGATTGGTTCGGGATCGGGGTCTAGAGTTCGTGTGCAGGGTTGTTGGGGCTTGGGGCTTTGGGGTTCGACAGGTTTCGGGAGCAAACCCGAAACCCTAAACCCTGAACCCCGAACCCTAAACCCTAACCCTAAACCTAAAACCCTAAACCCCCTGAGAGCCTCAACCCTAAACTGCAACCCCTCGAAGGGAGGAATTGCCTGCGCATCTTCTTGCCCGGCGGTGGAAGCTTCCGTCTCCTAGTGTTTTCAAGGTCTTAGGGTTCAGGGTTTGGGGTTTAGGGTTTAGAGTTTAGAGTTTAGGGCTTAGGGCTTAGGGCTTAGGGTTTAGGGTTCAGGGTTCAGGGTTTAGGGTTTAGGGTTTAGAGTTTAGGGTGCGTTAATAAAGGGTTGATGTAGGGTGGGTTAATATGGGGTTGAGGGTGTCTAGGGTGTCGGGTGTATAGGGTTTAGGATGTACAAGAATGATATGGGGTTTAGGGTGTGCAGGGTTTAGGGTGTCTAGCAGTTTGGGTTTCGGTGCAACCCTAAACCCTAAACCCTAAACCCTAAACCCTAAACCGTAGGATTTAGGGTTCTGGGTCCAGCCCGGCACCGGGAGGCTTCTCTTTTCAGCACAGCCCTGTTCAGTTGGGATGTTCCCCCTTATACCAACAGTCCTGAATAGGGATTGTAGTACTCCCCATTACCTAAACCCTAAACCCTAGACCCTAAAACCTATTATGCCCAATTAAGGACTCTTAGTATAAGGGGGAACATCCCAACTGTTCAGTTTCTTTGGGTCTGGGGCAGTCAAGGCCAACCAAAACCCAAACCCCAAAAGACCCGAACCCCGAAGAAGCACAAACCACAAACAAACCTAAACCCACCCGCACCCCCCCCCCCCCAAAAAAAAAAAAAAGAACATAATAATAACAGCAAAAAGAACTAAACACCGAAAAACCTAACCCAAAAAAAATAAGCCCTAAACCCAGCCAGGTCCCTGAAAACTCGGGGAATTTCGTGTAGAGCACCAGACCCCCAGCCCCCAACCCCAGGGTTTCCAGAAGCCCTGATTCTCGAAACACTAAGCCGTAAATCCTCAACCCTAGAGCCCAAAACCCTAAACCCTAAACCCTAAACCCTAAACTCTAAACTCTAAACTCAAAGAACCCTAAGCCGGTTCTTGGGTCTTGGCTTCAGTGGTGTCATTTCGTACACCCTCTCTGGGGCTGTGGTTCAAGGTTGTGGGGTTTGGGATTTAAGGCTTGTGTTTTCGGGTCCTTTTAGGGTTTAAGGTTTAGGGTTTAGGGTTTAGGGTTTAGGGTTTAGGGCCCAAAACCTGAACCCTAAACCCTAAACTTTCTGGCCCTTGTAGATCCTTATCCCTACGCCCTGAACCGTTGTGGACCCTAGACCCCTGCATCTCTCATGGCACCTGAGCCCCATAAACCCAAGACATTAAGGGCTTGGGGTTTGGGGTTTAGAGTTTAGGGTTTGGGGTTTGGGGTTTGGGGTTTAGGGTTCAGGGGTTCCGCCCCAAAAAGAAGCTCAGAAGCTGGGTCCTCGTCGTCCTCATCGTCGTCCGAGACATCGGCATCGACATCTGGCAGCCCCGAAGCCTGCAAAATTCAACGGGGGGGTTCTTCGAGATTCCACCTAAACCCCAATGCCCTAAACCCTAAACCCTAAGCCCTAAACCCTAAGCCCCAATCCCTAAACCCCCAAACCCTTCGCCCCTAAACCCGAAACCCGAAACCCTAAACCCGAGTTTGGGGTTTTTGGGCTTGGCAGGGGGGGTTCTTGGGTTGCCCCCCCCCCCCCCCACACCCCCCTCTAAGGACACTGACATTGTATCTCGGGATTCTCCCCCCGTATACTCATCAGGGATGATAATGGGGGGTTGCTGTAAGCCCTATTCAGGACTACTAGTGTCAGGGGGAACATCCCTAGCTATCATGGAAGAGGAGCCTCCGCGGCCTACGAGCCTCCGGAAGCCTCCAGAAGCTGAAAAGACCAAAAAAAGACTTCTGGTTTAGGCCACCCGAAACCCTAAAACCTAGACCCTAAACCCAAAAAACCTAAAACCCTAAACCCTAAACCCTAAAGCAAAGCCCGATCTTCCCCCTAGATTAAGTAGCGAAAAAAAAACCGTAAAGCCCTTATACCCCTAGGTTCAAAAACGAACTAAAACCCTGCGTATTCCCAAAACTCGAAGTCTCCAAAACTCCGAGAAGCTGAAGGTTTCAAAGCAACAACCCTAAACCCTAAAAGCCTAGGCCCTAAACCCGAAACCTTAAACCACACTAAACCCTAACAAATGCGAAACCTCAAACCACCCTAAACCCTAAATCCCGAAATCCTAACCCCAAACCCCCAAAGACCCACCTCCTGCTGATCCTCGACCAACTTTCCAGTCGATGGCTCAGCGGGTTTCCGAATCTGCGTTTAGGGTTTAGGGTTAGGGTTTAGGGCTTCGGCTTAGGGTTTAGGGTTTCGGGCAACCAGCCTGTCAGTAAATCCTACGGCGTAGGGGTAGTCCGGGGATTTTGGGGTATTCCAGGAGTTAGAAGGTTTGGCTTCAGGGCCTTAGGAGCCCCCAGTCTCTACACCCGCCACCGACAGAAGCCAAGGCAACAAAGCAAAACGAACCCCTCAACCCCAAACCCTAAACCCTAAACATGTTTGGTGCTTTGCGGTATGTTCCCATGAATCATACACGATAGCGCGGGGAACACAACAAGATTCCTAAACCTCCCAAAGCCCCAAACCCATTGAAATCCAAAAAAACCCTCTGGGAGGTGGGCAACTTGGAGCTGACCCTCGTCAGCTCCATGACCACGGCGACCAGGAGGATGAAGAAGCCTCGGGGCTTGGGGGCTTAGGATGTTTTAGGATGCTTTAGGATGTGTTAGGATGGTTTTGAGGTTTAGGGTTTAGGGCTTAGGGCTTAGGGCTTAGGGTTTAGGGCTTAGGGTTTAGGGTTTAGGGTTTAGGGTTTAGGGTTTAGGGCTTAGGGGGCTTCGGGGGCTTGGGATGCTTAGGATGCTTAGGATGGACGTTGGGGGTGTGGAGGCATGTTGAGGGCGTAGGATGCTTAGGGGTTTGGGGTTTAGGGTTTAGGGTTTAGGGTTTAGGGTTTAGGGTTTAGGGCTTCAGGGCTTGGAACCAAAATCGTGGGCCTCAGGCTCGTGGTGGGGAGTAGGGTTTGGGGGACTCAAACCCCCCAAGGCCCTAAACCCTAAGCCTACCTTAAACCCTAACGCCCTGAGCTCTACAGCCCTAAACCCCCTGAACGCCCTGAACCCCCTAAACCTTTCAGGAGGCCCTAAACCCTAAACCCTAAACCCGAATCTGAGCACGCTCCTTGGGTCAAGCCACCTAAGACCCGATCCTTTGAGGGCTTTGGGCTTATGTGTTTAGTGTTTGGAGTTTCGGGCCCCTAAACCCTAAACCCTAAACCCTCAACCCTAAACCCTAAACCCTAAACCCTAAACCCTAAACCGACCCAGACAGTTTAGGGAGCCTCTAGGCTTCATGGTTTTGGTCAGATTTTTGGTTGTCCGCCCTTCAGGGATACAAACCTTGGGGGCTTAGGGGATTTAGGGATCGGGAGACACCAAACCCTAAAACCCTG